CCCCAAAACCCCAAAACCCCAAAACCCCAAAACCCCTACAAAATTACAATTAAAAGGCGGATTATAATATATAAATTCTACGATGAGAACTCCGAAGTTCAGCTTGGCAATTTTGTGCTGATTCTTTGTTCTAGCCCAGTCAAAGCTAGAATTTGTAGCTGAGATATGCCGTCACGGAGCCAGAGCTCCAGAGGGAGATACCTTTGGAATAGAATATGAGAAAGGACCAGGAATGCTCACTCCTTCTGGGTTTAGACAGCACTTAATGATTGGAGATGAACTCAGGAATAGGTATGTGAAAGGTATGGATAAGTCACAGAATCTTCTTAGTCCGATATTTAATCCTGAAGAGGTTTATGTCAGATCTACGCAGGTGAAGCGGACTATACAGAGTGCATATTCACAGTTACTAGGCATGTTTCCACTAGGAACAGCTGAAGAATTGAGATTTTACCAGATAGATGTGGCAATTCCTCCACTTGAAATATCTGATCTTGAAGATATCACTACAGAACTTGGAATTGATGCAATCCAAGAAGGAATGCAGCCTGTTCCAGTTAAAAATTATGGAGAATATATTGATTCATTAATTGCTTATGGTGGATGCCCATATATGATGAATGAGTATTACAGAAGGATTGATGATCCTAAAGTTTGGCAAGAGTATGATGACCACTTTAGACCTCTCATATTTTCACAAATTGCTAAAGCCTTTAATCTATCTGAGGACGATCTCTCTTTCATGACCATATACAAGTATCCTGATTCTTTATTTGCTGAAGAATTTGAGGGAGTTTTAAAGAGATACAATTTTACTGAAGAAGAATGGTCGATAGTTCGGTCAATGCAAATACCTCTTTTTCTGCCAAGACTTTCCTCTCTTTCCAGAAAAATTTTGTCCCTTAGATACATCTTCCCAATACTAGAATTGATGAAGTCTCGTATGGGTCAGGACTACAACAAAGAGCTATTGAAAACTTTTGGAACCCCAAAATTCCTTCTATTCTCATCCCATGATTACCAGCTTTCTCATATAATGAAGTTTTTGAACCCTGAAAATCTACAGCTTGAGCACATAGAATTTGCATCAGTGCTGATATTCGAACTGCATAGAAGAGACACCAGAGTATGCAAAGACTCCTCTGAAGATGCCTGCTTCTACGTAAAAGTTCTCTATAATGATGTCCCTCTCAAGCTTCCTAGCTGCAGTTCGGTCGATTGCTCATTCAATGAGTTCAGAGGATACATTGAGAGCTTTGGCATGACCTATGACCAAATGATAGAAATCTGCTTCTCAGAAGAGCTACTAGATATTCCAAATTATGATGAATTAGTTCAGCTAATTCTTTAACCTTGGTCATTTCAATTCTATCCAAGTATTTTGGGGTTTTGGGGTTTTGGGGTTTTGGGGTTTTGGGG